CCCAACCATTCCTTTAGTTAGTAGCCACGTGGGAGCAGCAAACTTTAGTAAGAGAGGGGAACTAATGCCTGAGAAGGGAGAAACACCCCCTAACTCAGCTCTGCCACTAGAGAAGTCTGCCCCCTTAGGAAGACAGTTTGATGCTTTATTGGCCTTAATTCTGGCAGTTAATGGGCAACATATGTACTGGTGCAGCCTTCAGCCTCACTGAGGTGGAGATCAATCTTTATTAGCATTTTGTGCACCTCTGCGTTAAAATGGGATTAATAAAATTGATTACCCCTGAAATGCTACCTTCCACACAGAAGGCTGGAACTTCACAACCTGTAAGTGGTGCTTTATTCAGAGAGATTTTACTCAAGTATCAAGCACATACAGAGACATACAACCTTCAAAACAGTAAGGAAAAAAAAAGCAAGACCTAGAGTGTACTATTACTGTCTAGTTTCACAGGTAGGTAAAACTGCAAAAAGAGGAACCAAAACATTATTCTCAGCCATTCACCTTAATTTCTCTTCCAGAAGTCTATTTGAATATGCAAACCTAATCTTCACGAGATCAAAACTTAACATGATGTTAGTGCAAAATCAAACATATCCCATAATCTTTAAACAAAAAAGCAGGCAACAGCCCTTATTTCAGGGAAGCAGTTAAGCCAAATGAATAGAGAACTGGTCTTTGACTGCAGTGACCAGGAGGTCACTTTACTGCCCTCTCACAAGCTCTGGGGCTGCTTAAATCCCTTTACCCCTCTCTGCTTTGGTCTTGCAGTTTGCCAGTCAGGAGCAGAGCCAACATTAAGCCTGGGCTGCCGATGCCCATTCGTAAAGACCCCTTGAGCAACCACTTAACCGGAAAGGATGCATTTCTTTTTTGAGGTTTTAAAATGGTACTGAAAAGAATAGTTTCAGTGCCTGCACCTAAGTAGTATTTTAAAATTAGGTAAATAATTTGATAATTTTAAAGAAGAGGAAATGTTGCTTTAGTTTTCACAACTTTCTGCAAGGGCTTTTTTTTCCTCATGCATGCTCTGCATTGATTTTGCAGAGCATGTGTAATTGCAAGGCTTGATTCTGAAGGAGGAAAATGAAACTTTTTATAGCATTTTCAGGCTACTCATAAAAGTGCTGTGTTTAAGCTAGGTCCAAGTGATTGGTTTAGTTGGTGGTATTATTATTAAGTTCTAAAGTTAAAGGTAGTCCACCTCAGCATGTAAAAACTATAAGCTCCTCGGAATTAACAGTAACTATCTTCTTTATTTTCTTTGACTACAAAAGCCAGAACGTCTGTTCCCAGTCATCCAAGACATGGTAGGAGTATCTCCTAAATGCTAGGTAGCAGAAAAAGAGAATAAGGAAAAACGTTTGATCCCCATTTTATCCAATACCTTTCTCCTATCCCTTTAACGTTTTCCTTTGCCCCTTCTGAACCCCTTTTTCTTAAAAATACCCTGTCTTTCTGTGTACTCCTTGTTAGCTCATGGTTGTGCAGCCTGACTGTAGGGCATGACCAGTGAATCATAAAAGTAAATGTCAACAGGAAAAGATCTCCAGTAGCCCATTAGCTGTTTGAGATCATATTTATTATTTACTGAATGACCGTGAATAATGAACAAATTGCTCTAAATGATTGCAGATTTGTGGCTAAATCTCTATTAAAAAGAGAAAATCAGTTAAAGCAATTGCAGAATTTATTTACAAGGAAAAAATTGCCTTCTTCTCATTAATATTATGTAGAGCAGACATATTACCAGTTAGAGAAATAGAGGTAATTACTGCAAATTGGTTATGAATGAAAAAAAATGGAAACTTTGAAATAGCAGAAAAGTGAAAAAAATTCTCACAAAATGCTTCCATGGAGGTATCTGCTCTAATCTCAGTGGGTTAGACTTACATGAGCATCAGTGAGTTAGACAGTGTTGGAGATTGCTACTCCAAGTTGTGTTTACGTTCAGTATTTAGAGGAGTAAATTAAGTAAATCCCATCCTAGCTAAATACAGCTAATCGTTTGACTGCCATGCCTGGTTTGTGCATGAATTGCGGCCTAATTTTCTTCTCAGAGGATACTGGTCAGGTCAGTAGTGCCGCTGATGCAAAAAGTGTGCAACTTTCATTTAGGCATATCCTCCTCAAGGTAAATGATAATTCTGTAGCTATTATACAAGTGGACAGAGAAATCACAAACTGTACAATTGAAGGAAAATACCCATTCCTAGCACACAGATTGTGTAGCAAACAACAAAAGGAACCTATCCTAAAATAGAAGAGTATCCAAATATTTTTCTCTTGGCTTTGTGGAGCACATGCGGTGACGCCTCTTCATGCATTTACTTGAGCAGTTCTCTAAATCAGATTCCATTTTAGGGTAGTCTTGAAAACTATATATCAGCAAAGTGTGGTTTTATGTTTCCTACTTAAAGAAAGTGTGTGGTATTGGAAATCATGTTATCAGACATTATCCAAAATCTTATACCTGTTAGAAAGTCATGTTTAGCATCATATTTAACTAGCTCTAATTTCTTTCTCTCATTGCAGAATCAAAGGCTTTCCAAATTAATATGACTATTTGAGTATTTTTAGGCAAGAGCCTATTAACGTTGAAATGGGTTTTTTTACAAAAGCATGCTATAGCTAAAGCTCATGATGGAAGTAATTTGTAATATTCAATGACCTCATTTTATTCTGTTTTGCTCACTCAAAGCTAATGCATATGATGCCATGTGAAATTCTCAGAGAAGCCTGTCTGCAGGACTTATGGGAGCCATAAATGGATTAAACCTCTCACTCTCTGCTTTGGCAAGTGATCAGTTACATTTAAATAAAGGTCAGTCTGTCTTTACAAAGAACACACTGAAAGCAAGCTTAATAGCTTTCCCTACTGAGCCTAGAACATAACTATTTGAAGCATAATTAGCAACGGGGTGCCAGTCACTGATTGTGCTTTTTGCTTGATTTTATGTCTGGGGAGTTCCAGTATTCCCCATTAGCTTTAAGAGGGGGCACAGTGCTAGTTATCAAATTGACAGTCTCGACCTGGCCTCTGAAAGCAGCTGTAAAACATTGTTTGGGAAAATTAAGATGAATGCCAAAACCAGGACCGTAATATTGCTACAAATTGGACATTCAAGGTCCATGCCGTGACTCTAAATAACAAAATAGGTAAAATATCTGATATACATGAGAGTGCAGGCTTTGTTACCCGGTGATAAGGAGATACATCAGCTGTCCTATTATCTCGTGAGCTCTGTATTGTGAATTCTTTATAAAATACCTATTCTTTTCAGCATTAACAGAGTGCCAGCTCTGTCATCTGTTAAAATCTGGATTTCAGGAAGGATGGAGTGAATCAGCTACAACTGCCTCTCCAGTAAAAGGTGCTGACCACAAAAGGGTTATTTTGTGAAGTTAAGTAAATATTTAGCCTATATGATGCATTTAAGAATAAACATGATCATAGAACCCTAGAATGTCTTGGGTTGGAAGGCACATTCGAGATCAACTAGTTCCAACCCCCTAACATATCCCATGGTCTTCCAGTTTCCAGAATACCTGATTCATCTGAGGTTTCTTGACGGCTATTTATAGCCCTTGTAGCAGAAGTGATAATTGTCTACAGGTGGAGAGAACAGAGCTGATACAGCACTTTTGGTACTCTGCAGACAGCCTGAAATTCTGAGAGAGATCTATGAATTACCTTGACCTGCTTGACTGGAGCATCAGTTTCAAAAGTCCAGTGATTACACTTCAGTGTTATCAGCAACTAATTTAGCACTGATTATGAGGGAAGATGGGTAAGAGCAAAACACAGCTGTTGGGAATTTCTGAAGATAATCTAAGAGCAGACCAGAGAGGTAGACAGGTGACAGCAAAACATGCAAAAGAACGAGGAGGAGGAATTAAAAGGCAGCAAAGAGGGTTGGATTAGATGGAAGGAGTCTGTTAAGTAAAGATGAACTTCATACGAATTATTATGAGAAAATAGTCTTACATTTTAGGCGTGCTACGAAGACTATATTCTGTTCATCTCTGTAAATCATCAGCCTACTTTTACCTCAGCCCCTCTCACCTGGTAGCTGGTCAATGGCTGAGTTCCCAGCTCAGGTCTACTATGAAAGAGCAGATGTCTATGTCCTCCAAATGCGTCTTGACTATCAGTCACAAAATAGAAACTCTAAGAGGAAGACAACTAACCAAGGATTAAGATAAAACCATATACTTTTCCTGATTTACCTGCACTTGGGGGTTAAACACAGGATTTTAGGTCAGCAGATCTTAATTTCCTTTCGTGAATGGTATATCCATTTTAAGAGTCAATTAAATACATTATCAAATGTAGGCATTGCCAAGGAAAATATGGCTGTATTTGTTTTTACAAGCCCTTAGATAAATAAAGAAGACCAATGCCTTAAGCAGCTCTGTATCAGCTCTACCACTCTGCATCTCTAAAATTTATTTGTGCTTTCTTTGTCCTGCTTCTAGGATTTCTTTTTCCTGACAGAAGATTTGTACAGGACGTGGACAAATCAGTGACTAATTTAATTGACAGTTTTCAGCTTATATGGAATTTCCATTTTTTACAGATTTTCTACAAAGCAGCCAACTACTGCTCTGCTTCCTGCATAGGCACTTCAGATTGTAGTTGTTTGTTTTCATCACAGGTCAGATACCATCACCAGGAAAAACTAATTTGAAAGCATCTTCCATCACAGGCACTCCGAAATAATGAAATGAAACAGCCAACCAGAAAAAAGAATTGTTTTTCTTTAACCCATGAATCTCAGTGATGTAGAACTCTCAAGCTCTGGCAGTAAGGCTTGCTAGTCAGGTAGCGAATGCATTCGTGTGGCTCACACCTCCATAATCATTTCTCTCTTCTGCAGGACGTTTCCTTCAAGCACGGGTAATGGCTGTGTCATCTTTGAGTTTTCAGCATGTCCACATTACATTTTTCCACGTGTTGATTCAAGTACTTTAAACGCTCACTTTGTTCTCTATTGTAGGTCATGGGTTATATGGGACTTTTGAAATGTTGTCCTCCTGGAGAAAAACTAGAGAAGACCAACACGTTAAAGAGAGGACTGCAGCCGTATTTGCAGACTCCATGCTCTCGTTTTCTCTCACCACTGCCATGTACCTGGTCACTTTTGGAATAGGTGCCAGTCCCTTCACTAACATTGAAGCAGCCAGGATTTTCTGCTGCAATTCCTGTATTGCAATTTTCTTCAACTACCTCTATGTACTCTCCTTTTACGGTTCCAGCCTGGTGTTTACTGGCTACATAGAAAACAACTACCAGCATAGTATCTTCTGCAGAAAGGTACCAAAGCCAGAGGTATTGCAAGAGAAGCCTGCATGGTATAGGTTTCTTCTGACAGCCAAATTCAGTGAGGACACAGATGATTCAGAGGAAACGAACACTTACGAGAGTCATCTTTTGGTGTGGTTCCTGAAACGCTATTATTGTGACTGGATAACAAACACTTATGTCAAACCTTTTGTAGTTCTCTTTTACCTTGTTTATATTTCCTTTGCCTTAATGGGCTACCTGCAGGTCAGTGAAGGGTCAGAGCTGAGCAACATCGTAGCGACTGCGACACGAACCATTGAGTATACAACTGCCCAGCAGAAGTATTTCAGTAACTACAGCCCAGTGATTGGGTTCTACATCTACGAGTCAATCGAGTACTGGAACACCAGTGTCCAGGAGGACGTGCTGGAGTATACCAAGGGCTTTGTGAGGATATCTTGGTTCGAAAGCTACTTAAATTACCTTAGGAAACTCAACGTATCTACCGGATTGCCCAAGAAGAATTTCACTGATATGTTGAGGAACTCCTTCCTGAAGACCCCTGAGTTTGCCCATTTTTCAGAGGATATCATCTTCTCCAAGAAATACAACAATGAAGTTGATGTTGTGGCCTCCAGGATGTTCTTGGTGGCAAAGACAATGGAAACCAAGAGGGAAGAACTTTATGACCTCCTGGAGACCCTGAGGAAGCTCTCTCTCACCTCCAAGGTGAAATTCATCGTTTTCAATCCATCATTTGTGTACATGGATCGTTATGCCTCTTCAGTAGGAGCCCCCTTACAAAACTCCTGCATTAGTGCTTTATTTCTGCTCTTCTTCTCTGCATTCCTGGTCGCAGACTCTCTGATCAATGTCTGGCTCACTCTAACTGTTGCCTCGGTTGAATTTGGAGTTATAGGTTTTATGACCTTGTGGAAAGTGGAACTAGATTGTATTTCTGTGTTGTGCTTAATTTACGGAATTAATTATACAATTGACAACTGTGCTCCACTGTTATCAACCTTTGTCCTGGGCAAAGAGCTCACAAGAACTAAATGGGTGAAAAATGCCCTGGAAGTGCATGGGGTAGCTATTTTGCAGAGCTACCTCTGCTATATTGTTGGTCTGATTCCTCTTGCAGCTGTGCCTTCAAATCTGACCCGTACACTGTTCAGGTGCTTGTTTTTAATAGCATTAGTCACCTTCTTTCACTGCTTTGCCATTTTACCTGTGATACTGACTTTCCTGCCACCCTCCAAGAAGAAGAGGAAAGAAAAGAAGAATCCTGAAAACCGTGAGGAAATAGAGTGTGTTGAAATGGTGGATATGGATAGCACCCGAGTGGTTGACCAAATTACAACAGTCTAACTTGATTTGTTGGTTGCTTTTTTACACGAGGTCTTACTGAAAAAAAAAAAAAAAAAAAAAAAAAAAAAGAAAAGAAACCAGTACTGACTAAATATCTGGGGAGAGGAAGGAGTTTGGAAGTTTTCCCTCCCTCCTCTAAACTAAATCCAGGAATATTCAAAATTATGGGAGAAATCAAAAATAAATTAAAAAAAAAAAAGAAAAGAGCCAGGGGATTGTACCTTGCTCAATTTTCACACACATGCAAAGGGGAGTTGAATTTTAGATGCATGAAGTAAGATCTAATGAGAGCAATTGGGTTCCTAAGCAGTCATCTGCATCGCCTGTACTGCAGATGCTGCAATTATTGTGGCTAAACCAAATCATATTGAAAGGTCAACTGTCAAGGCTGAAGTAGCACTAAATGTTCGCTGGATGTAAAGGCTTTACAAACTTTCTGCACAGCAATAACTCAAGTCAGTGAGTCAGCTCTTATAAGTCTTAGCCATCACATTTAATTTTTCTTTTCTCCCCTAATCTAAACATTTATGCAAGACTATATAAAAGATAGCAAACTGTACTGGGAAAGAAGGCAGTACACAGCAACCAAATGCTTTCCAAACACTTTTATGTTATAAATCACTTCTTTTTTTTCTAAAAATATCATTATTTTAAAATGGAAATCACCCCTTGTAACATTTTTAATCATGGTTTTATAGCTGTTTCTTTTTCTTATAAAAACAAAAAAGAAAAAAAAAAAAAAAAAAAAAAGAACAAAAAAAAAAAAAAAAGGAACAAAAAATCCAGGTGACTCTGTCACTCTAGAAAATATATAATTCTATTTTATACATGTCTCGCTACTAGTTAAACATGTAATCTGCTTTACCAACTGCAATTTTTTTAGCACTCTACGAGGACATGTGAGTGGATCTAGCAGCAGATAGAAGATGGTGTACTGAATATTTCAGCACCAAAATCCATGATACAAACCTCAAATACTAAAATGTCATCAAGAAAGTGAATGTTAGGGCTCTTTTAGTGAGAGCCTATTTCAGGCCATTCACTGGTAATGCACACTAAGAGGATTAGTGGGTAGTTTTACATAATGTATAACTTAATCCCTCAATCTTCCTAGAGTACCTGTAAAGCAATAGACCTTAACAGCTATGGGCTCTTCCAAGAGACAGTAGACCGTGAGAGTTGTGTGGAACAAACCGAAGGCTGGGACTGTGGTTTAGCAGCAACAAGTTTAACAATGTCCCCAAAGAGCCCATATCTAAGGGGCCTATTGAAAACATCACTTCTGAGAGAAAAAAGAAAAAAAAAAAACTTAAAAAGATTACATTACTGAGTCTTTTTGGAGCTGTGAGTTCTAAATCAATAATTCTGTCAGCATCTGTGATGTGGAGTAATACAGATAAAGCAGCATCTCTTTCCTCCTCTGCCCCCTCCACCCTTAAGAGCGACAGGCTCATTACTGTAAGGTTTTATCATGTGGTTGAACCCCAGTGGGGATATGTAAGCCAATTCTGTAGGTTTTGCTGAGAGTATTCCGACTATACATTGCCTGTGAAAACCTGGTATCAGGAAGCTGACTGGTGTGTTGGGTGGTCTCATGAATATATGGACTGTTGCTTTGTGGTGCAAGTTGAATGTATTACAGCCAGATTCCTTTTTGCAGCTCATCCGGAAAGTAAGAGTACTTGAAAAGTTTTCAGCACTTGGCATAAGGTTTGCTTCAGTGACAGTATGTGGAGGGGAAAGGATATTGCAGGAGCCATGAGGCTTGGACCACTGGGAGCACTGTGGCTTGGGAAGCTGCCTGTGGTACTTGCACGGTCATTAGCACGTCTGTGGTCACAAACCCAGGGTATGCTTCATTGCATGAAACATCTCTTTAGCATCCAGTCCCAGTGACCCCCTAATACCCTGTGCGAAACCCGCAAATGCCACTGAGTGAATGTTAATTTTCAAGCAAAGAGATAGTTCTGAAGCATTCTTCCTAGCAGAAAAGAAGATAATCAGATATTTTGCCCTGAAGCAAAACGCTACATGCTCACTAGCAAAAAAAGTCAGCAGCGCAGCTGGCAACATTTACTTTCCCCTGGATACATCCCTCCTCTGACCAGAAGAAAGGAAGCTGTGTCCAGGAATGCACAGGATCTTTGCTTAAATAAACAACAGTTGCTGCGGTAGCAGCTGGGAAGCTGTAACAACAACTTCAGCCTTGGCAGAACCCAGGTGGACACCTTGAAGACAGCCAAATGAATGTAAGACTAGGAAAAAGATCTGTTTCCCCTGTTTTCTTTAGAGTCAGGCTTGGGGCTATGTTTTCCAGCCAAAAATTATTCATTAAATATACTTCACTATAGATTTTCTGTGATTATCACAATTTCATTTAAAGAAGAGTCACCCTATCTCCTGCCTGTTCAACAAGAAGCTGCAGTGGCTTTTAAACTTCTGAGGGCATTAGCAAATTAGTTGAGAGTTACAGAGGAATTGCAATTCCTCTGCAGCAATGTACTGACTTGTGGAATACTTGGAAATGGGATATGTGTGAAAGAGGTTGCTTTTACACTGCAGAGAGAAATACATGGCAAACACTAATTTTACACCTCTGCTATCCGTCACGTTATCTACTTGCAAACACCAGACACAAAGGTGGTTACCATAAACATCTTAACATCTAATTGCTGTGCGTAGACAGGAGTGTCTTTAAAGAGATGTCCAAAGACAAGCTTTTAATTTCAGAGGCCTCTCCTTAAATTTCAGCATGTATGGCCTTCAGAGATCTCCAAGAAAGTTGATAAAACCAGGGATAAAATTACTCCTATATCTCCAAACCTGTCAGAAAAAGGATGTGGAGGCAGTCCTATGACTGCAGAACAGGCTTGGGTGTCCAAGAAGGCAGGGTGAGAAGTCAGGCAGTCCACCCCCTTGCCCCAAGGCAGAGTCAACAGCATTTAAATCATTTCTGAAGGATGTTTGTCCAGCTCCTTCCTAAAAAATCTTTTTAAGGGCATATTCCTTTCCTAGCAGTTCCCCCCAGTGCCATGTTACCCTGTCCAATAACTAGTAACTCCTGCTAGCTGCCCTGAACTGGGTCAGAGAAGAGGAGCCATGCCCCTCTCTACACAGGGACAGGACAGGCAGGAGACTGAAACATCCCCAAAAGAGAGAAAACCCAGATCAGAGCCAAAACCAACTTACCTATATTTTTCACTGTGTTTCACCTCAGGCTGCCATTTCATTCCCCCCTTCCAGGGTTGGCAAGGTAAAGCCATGAAAGTATCCAAGGTGCACTCATCCTGGGTCGGTGAGGTTTCTGCCTGAATCCTGATGTGTCTGAGGGATGCACCAAATATTCCTTCTCTACAGGTAGCTTGAATACCTCAACATGAACCAGAAACAGCGTGTTCTCAAGGTTTCAGACTATGCTAAGCCACTTTGGCCTTTATCCCCTTCGACTTTTTCCTCTGAAGCAACTATCTTCACCAAAATCAGTTGGTCCTCCCTGCGCCGATTGATCAGTAGGTGCAGATGCTGTGCTCTGTTTCCGTCCAAAGCGCTTCCAGTGGCTAACTGTGCATAAGAGTTTGCCTTTACTGGTGAACCTCCATTTTGGAAGACTACCTAGGCTTAAGCAGATTTTTGTCATACTCTTAAGTGGCTTTTTAGCCCAGGTATCACTGTGGTTTTGTTTGCAGTATAGATTGCCCAATTTTTTTATAAATTCAGTATAGAACAGGGTATTGTACACTGTCAGGCACTGATTAAAATCTAACAGTGAAAGTTTTAGCTAAGGCTGACAAGACTATCTAGGACTGTGGCCCACTGAGCACATGTATCTTCTACAAACATAAAATTCCATACAGTAAGGTATGGTGTACAATTTATTTTTAATTACAGGGTAAGCATGGGGAAAAAGAGCCAACCAACGTGCAAATGGCCCTCAAGATCAGTCCAGTTTTCTTGTAACATAATTTCTAATGTCTTAGTAGAAGTCCACTTTCAATTTACAAGTATTCTAACAGGAGGGAAAAAAAGAAGAGACAAAATTTGGTAGAGTTGGAATAACTACACTATAAAAATTAACTGATGAAGGCAGAATTTGCTGCCCAAAGCAGAAATATGAAAGTGTTCTAGTTAGATTAAAATTAGAGTTTGGAAGGTTGAGAAAAACCTGTCTGTCAAAGAAAAAGAGGTTCTTTTCGAAAGACAAGCAAATACACTTACCATGGTCAACTGTGTGAATCTGGAGGGAAAACAGTATCAAAGTGGCTTGAGGTTATGTTGAACCACGAGAGGATTTGCATCTGCTCTCAAAAGCTTTCTGAGCCAGCACTGAATACAGGTAAAACATGTACTGTAAATTGAAAGGTGTACTTTTAAATGCTTTTCTCTAGGCTGACTATCCTCCTGTGAGCCATGAAATCCCCCTTCAGCCAACACCTTCTTTATTTTTATTCAAAGGGAAAACAAAACAAAGCGATGGCATGACTGGGCAGAGATCAGGGGAATCAGAAGAAAGACTGTGACTTCTCTGAAAAACTGAGAGCCAGCAAAGCAAGTGGGTTTTGTGATAGAAGAACCAGTTACTTCAAGACTTAGCAAAATGGTGGTTTTTCCTATTTGTTTACTTCGGAAGCAGGTAGCATGTTAAGGGAGATGCAGGGAAGGGAAGCTGAGTTAATAGGAGTTCGCTGCGGATTTGCTGTGGGCCCCAGTAGCACCTCTGGCATGGCTGGGAGCTGGCAACTGGATGGGAGTGCAGGAGGGGCTGGAACAACACTGCTGTGTGGGCACTGGGGATGCCAGACCAGGGGCTGTGGTGGTGCCATTGCCCTTGTCCCCATCCCACGGCCGTGCCTGGTGTTTCCCGGAGATGCACAGCCTGCAGAGTGCGCTAGCTCCTATGTGGGCATGGCTCACTCCTCCCATGCCTCATGTTGGGACAGCACTCCTGGGTTTTGATGAACCAGGACTTGCATGGTAAGGCACAAGCCCTCTGGGAACACTTTCTGGAAGATCTTGGTTGGAAAGAATTACCCAGAGATTTTTTCTCCCCTGCCTTTGCACATGTTAAAACACAGATCCGTACAAGTCAAATTGTACAATTAGCTATGTAGGGACAAAGTATTTCTTCCATGGCTTTTTCCTTACATTTATCACTAAAAGTACTTGTCATTTATTTTCTTATAAATATTGTGAAATAAGTAAGCCTTCCTGGGGTACACACAGTTCTGATGAGAAGGAGGCAGGGAGGGGAGAGAGCCCCTTCCCCTCCCCAAAGGTAGGAAGCATCTTCCACCCATGGCCAGGCACTACACCATTGTGGCAGGGCACCCCCAGTGACCCCAACACAGTGCAGGGGTGGGGGCAACTTTATCCCTCCTCCCCAGTCTTACTAGAGAACAGGGAGGAGCTTTAGCTCTAAATTGTGGTGGGGATGGGCCCCCAGGGAGCCCTTGTGAAACCCATCCGCTGCCAGGAAAGTGCAATGGTGAATTTCTTGTTTGGTTGGTTTGTTTGGGTTTTTTTGAGAAAGATGTGGCAGAAGTATCCCAAGAGTGGATTTGAACATATATTCCTGTCCATGGTGCATGGGTTGGAGCAGAGTGAGTGCCCTGACAGGCCACCGTTTGCCCTGTGGTTGTCCTGGCACAGCTTCCTGCCTGGAGAGAGGGCACCTCAGCATCATGAGCGCCTGCCTGGGGCAGCCGCTTCTCAGGCACAAATTGTTCTGATGGTGTTGGCGTTCTGCAAGTCATTACCTTTTTATAATTTTGGAAAAAGGGAAAAGAATAGATCAATATAAACAATTCTAGGTTATTTAAGCTCCAAGAAGTCTTAACCTGCGCGTCAAATAAATGGCTTGCAAGATGTCAAGGGGTTTCTTTTGGGCTTTTTTTTAACCAATTTTTACTATTTTTGTATTAATTTAGGGGGAAAATTGTATAATGAATCTCAATGTATAGCATAAGCCTGAAATAAAATGGCTGTCTCTCTCTTTGCTTCCTGTGCTCCCAAACTGTTACAGAAATCCCTTGCCATCACCAGCGTAACAAACTGATTTTCCTGACCTAACCCAAATAATCAGAATGTGCGTCCTCTCCAACTCCCCTCAGAGAGGGATGGCAGAGTAGTTCAGGGGCACCTGCTGCAGCATAGAGCCAGCAACACCCAAAAGATAATGGGCACACTGCTTCTCCAGTAGCCCCTCTTGTTCCAGGGTGCACACTGCTTGGCAGCAAGCACAGGGAAAATGCATTCCCCATCTATTAATTTCCATGTTTCTGGGACCTAAGTCCTTTTTTGGGGGGTTCCTAGACAATCCAGCATCAAAACCCCAATCTGAGCAGGCAAAGCAGCAGCTAAGGTAAAAATCTCCAACTGATTTGATCAAAAACTTAGAGTTATCTCCTCAGACAACAACTAGACCTACTGAAATCTGGTAGGTACGTAGATCTGAAGTATTACTGTTGAACAGAAATACTATTATTAAAAATGTTCTTATCAGGACCTTAGCATCCACAAACTTAGGAAGCCCCATCATCACTGAGAGACCTACCTCTCCCACCAGCAGAACCACGGCTGCTGGCCCAGGATCTTCTGATGACTATGTTCCACCATCTTCCCATACCCAGAGAGATCACCCATTTACAGTTTTTCCCTAATGTTTTGGAGAAGAGGAGCAGCACCCCTATAGGCCCACCTGGACCAATTGCTTTGATGCAGAACCAAACCAATGCACCAAGGGACATGGGTGACCATCACAGATGCTCTGTCACATCTGGCTGTAGCAATGAGATATTATTTACTTTATTGTAAAAAGCAGGTGAGCCAGATCCAAGCCCAAGTCACTGAAAACAATAGCAGGCCTGAGAGCGGGTGGGTTTGGGCTGCCAAGGGCTTTTGACCACTTTATTTTAAGGGGAAGTTTGGGTCTGCAATTTAAAGGTGACTCCTGTCACCTGTTACAGCTCCTGGCCTTGTCCCTTTCAGTTGTTCTTTCTCACATTGCCTTAAATTCAGAATCCACAAGCACTGTTGACAAAAATTCTGTCTGAAATTGAAACTCAAATTATATCAATTTTTCTTATTGCTAATGTAATGTAAGAGAGGCTACGTCTAAGCATGGCACAGGAACCCAAAGAGCAAAACTGCCGTACCAGGCTGGTGTGCCTCGTTGGTGTTAGCAAGAGCTCCTTCATGCAATTCTCCATAGATCTAATTTACAAAATTCAGGCTTTCCAAATGTGTAATCAGCACTTTTTATTCTGAAAATTCATCTGTATGTATACCTTCAAAGTAGAGGCATGTTAAATCTGATTTTTAGGTTATCAGGGAATACAGTTCAGCCCAACAAACATTCGTGAGCAGCATCTCTGAATTCCACATGCAATTCTTACACTGCTACATACAAATCAGAATATTTTCATCCCAAAATACCACATTTCCTTATTTGTACAGCTAATTTGCACGCAGAAACTAGGCAGAATTGCAGACCCAAAACAGTGAAGTGTGCTAATGTTTACATTCATCCTGTAAATATCACTTAAATATGTAAAGGTTGATGGTAATACTGTTGAGAAGAACAAGATTTTTTTTTTCTGACTTCAGTTTGCTGGCAGAGAATAACTGAAATGTATGCCGAGCACCTAGCTAAAAAGAACCAGGGAATAAGAAATCTAACAGTGCATCAGCAGAAAAAAAAAAGTCCACTTGAAAATTTATACATATGAGAAATCTAAGAACAGCGTTCAAGGCTTTAGCTGGGTGTCCAGACTATGTAGAATAGCTTATGTTAGAAATGAATGTAGAATATTCCATTCTGATTCTTTCTGACCCCATTCAATCCTCTGAAATATGCTCTGTTCTGTGAGGAGGCATACTTTTGAGCAAGACTGACATTTATCTTTCTAGAAATTACTGAGTTGCACAGGTGAAGTTTGCTGGAAACAAAATTTTAAATGTATACAAACAAACTGATGCCAGAAAACACAAGTTGTAAAAAACATGCCTTCACATACTGATTATATTTCATAATAAGCAATCTGTTCCTTGATGCTACAAGTGAAAAATGATTTTATATTTGTCAGCTATAATCAGAGAAATGAGATGCCCCACTAATGTATATATAGTGCATACACCCCCATACCAATTATGTATTTCTTATACGCCCAACTCAAGTTGGCTCTGTATAAAGAGAAGGAAAAGCCAACCTAGAAACATACTTGAAAGCTGGTAGGAAGAATAGTTTAGCTGTCCTGAAATTAGTAATGAATCAGCAGGGGAGGAGCAACAGAGAAGTTGGTAAGGGGTTTAGGAACAAAGAAGCTTCCTGCAGAAATGCTGTTGAGAAAGGAGACTACTCAGGTTTTATTGTGTCAGGAGGATGGGAAAGATCATGTAAAAAACTTCTGTGTTGCAAAAGGAAGGAAGGTCTAAGGCAAAATGAAGAGTGAGAGAAATTATATAAGTGTTTGTAAGATTGGCAGCTGTAAGGTATATTAAGGCTGTCTAATAAAAGGCAGGGTCTGTCCATATAAGGAAAATAAAAATTCACAGCTGCCTAATTATGTGATTTTAAATGTAGATTGAGTACTTCATTGCTTTGGAATAAAAGGAGGATATCATCTGTAATCTAATCTGGAGCCCAGAGCTGGAGACTTTAACATGATATATAAACAATATCATACAGAAAAAGAGATCGGTCAGATGAATTCTGGCTCATAACTTACTGAGAAATGGCAAATTGAGCCTCACTCTTCATTTTACTGCAACTATTACTTAGAAAAGAGCAGCTGACTTTACTGGTTCTGAAATAACCATACCTTCCTGATAAAATACTCATGTGTTGGAAGGATTTCTTTTCTTTTCTTTTGAAAATGCAATCAATTTTCTTTCTGGACAAAGTGAGCCCTCAGGCAGATTACCTGCAGCGAGAAGTGGGAAATGCCAGCTCTCTTAAGGTGATTCCTGAGTCAAGAACATCCCTCTTCAATTGAATTTCTCTCTTTTCTTTCCTCTCAGCATGCTATTGCAAGCTGTTCCAGACTTGTATATTGACAGTTTTACCAATTGGTGTATCATACCCCTCTTTGCAAGAGAAGTGGATTTCTGCCAAGCCTCTCCTGGTGTTGGCTCCGGGGGCAGTGTCCACGTTATAATTTTTTAATTATTCCTGCTCTTAGCCCCTCTCATGAGAGCCATTTCTTTCAGTTTCTTGGATCTTACTGGAAGAGTGGCTACAACAACTTTTACAGGAATGCCAACAGCATTTTGCTGATCTGACGTACCTCTGATATATATGAGTGACATAACTTTATTAGATGTAGCAGGAAGAAGCATTCAAAGCTCAGTGTCAGGACATCATATTCTATTTAATATCACCATCTCTGTAGATGTTACACACAGCAAATTTATAATATGGAAATTGCAGAAATGGGGAGAGTAAAGAGAGAGAGAGAGAATACCATTTAAGCTGCTCATTCAGCACTTTCCAAACCTCTCCATCAAAGGAAGAGTTCCTGCCTCACAGTCAGTGGTGACACCAAGCCTGGAGAATCTAATTTGCAGGAAAAGGTTAAAAGAATTTGGCTTAGAAAGGGGAAATGTGGAGCTGAGAGATGTGACTTCAGAATTATGGAAAGGATTGCTAACTTTAGTGAGTTGTTGTGGGGGTTTTTTTTGCCCAGCATGTGCTTCAAAAGCCAAAATCTCAGAATACAAAATGTTTGAAGTGAGAAGCAAATAATAAATTCATGGAGAACATTTCACAGGTAGAAATGACAAATACATATTGAAAACTGTAAAGTCAAGGCAGACAAAAAATCAACTCAGGTGAGAAATGCCTAAGTTTATTGTAGAGAACTCCATAAAAACCTACACAGAAAAGCTCTCAAATGTACTCACAGCCCTAGAGAGCTCTTCAGGTGGTCTGTTCCAGCACCAGGCCAGAAATAAGGTAAGAGTTTTAAATTATTGACAGCTACAACCAACAGAGCTTTAAACTGTGGAACCTGGGTGAGGGAGAAATGGGAAAAAAATGATGGGAAAAATACTTTAATGACATACTTACTCTTTGTGTGCATCAACACCTCTCCACCAGCTTCTTGGGAGTTATAGCTAATAAAACTTGTTTAAAGCATGGGCCAGCACATTCCACATTCCAGGCAACTGTTTTCCTCTTCCCCTTGAAGGCAAAGGCTGAGTTTCATTTTGTCAGTCTGCTTTCAAGGCACATCATCCCTCTGACACCGCCTGACTGACAAAGGACCTGATACACAGGGGTGAGCACAGACCAGCACAGGAAACAGCCCATACATGAGCCATGGCAGGGCAAAGCTTTATTACTCCTTCATCGGAGAGCTGTGCAAAAGAGGGCATTCAAATTTTTAGTGTACTTTAAAAACTTTTAGGAAAAATTTGCCTCTGTAGTACACTGTGGATGCATTAAGATGTAGATGTGCTATGGATGCTATCCAGGCATGCTTATGCTTTTCCAAAGCTAGGTAGCCCTCAGCCTTTGGCTTCGTGCCACGCAGTTCCTCTGAGATTCATATTGTAAGTTTTATTGAGATACTTGTTTGGTGAAAGAGATTTTGTTTAGATCAAACTGATCTTAAATATGAGCTCTTTTATTCACCCCAGAAGGCTTCCACACCTGACATCTCTATCCTCTGTTAGTACACTTGGAAATGAAGATGGCAACAGCGGAGAGAATTGGAAAGCAAGTAAAAGTCCCATTATTTCAGTTAAGTGGCAGCTAATTTTGTGAGGCTCAATTACCGGTGATTTTGTGAGCTTCATTTTTTCCACTACAAAATTTTGAAAAGGTGCTCAATATTCCACTCCTAAGCCAGGAATAACTATGGGTTTTCAGTATACTCCAAGCAGAGTATAGCAGCTGGATTGAAATCATGTTGCCCAGTGGAAATAAAGCATTGGGAAGGGGAGAAGAGGTGGATGGAGTTGGTCATTTGAAATTTTCAACAGAAAAGATAGGGTTTTCTTTAAAAAAAAAAAAATCACATTTTTACCTTTGTTCTGATAGGAAAGTCTTATTGAGTCTGATAAACTTGAAGCATATAAAATCATTTACAAAAACTGCATGAGGGGAGAGGTGGAAAGTGAGCTGAGAAAAGTTATATCTCTTCTGACTTTCTTCTATAATGTCTGCTTTATCACAGATCCAGGGAACAGCAGTATGGCCACTATCAGAGCAGTGGGGTAACTGTGTTTGGATAAAATTGTGTTATGGAAAAATAAAGTGATAAATAGTTAGCTGGTAAGACATGTACCCACCAGGCTTCTTTCAAAATGCTGATGAAGGGAAGGAAGGTATTGAGCTCTAATTCCAGTGACTGGAGAAGATAGGGCTTCCCAGCAAGGCAGTAGCAAATACAAACAATAGCAAACATTGCACTTGTTTAGAAACACAGTTTTGAATGCAGAATTGACTGATCCAGGGAAAATAAAGTCAGGAAAGATTGTGAAAGTCCAAAACCTCTCTACATTTTTTAACTTCTTGTTGTGGCTTATGTGTAATGTCACCAGATCCCTGGTGCTCACACACCATTCAAATCTGTAATTGTTTTAGACATAGTTCCCATTAATATAAATTCAACCAGTGAGCAAATATAAACCATACTCAGGTGGCCATTCGTAGATCTCAAGTAGTCAAGGGTCATCCTTTACAGCTACCCCATTCCTAAAATACATATAAAATATATGTATTTCACAGAATAATGAGAAAAATCTATACAAAATTCTGATCTACCTGAAAACAATTTGCTTTAAACAGGTCAAACAGAATTGAAAAATTGTTTCCGGCAAATAAGCTCTAAATGTGAAGGGAAAGTAGTTCTATTCAAGCTTTTTGAAGAGAATGAATGAGAGAATGAATGTGAAAAAGCACATGGAGTGCAATTTAAAGAAGCAAGCAAGCGAATCATGACCAGAGAATGTCTATAAAACCTTGGCAGTTGACCTTCACTGGGTGAGGATGGTAAGTGGGTCTGGAGAATCAGCATTTCATCAAGTGGTTGAGTATATTTTTACCCTTTTCAAAATATGAACCAGCTCATCAGGTAAAAACCGATCATGCAAGGTTTGTCCATTTGCCTGCTCTCAGTGAGCATGAAAAAAAAATCGTTTTAAATGAACCTGTGGTCTCTGCTGACTTTTGTTAATTCCAATATATTTCTGTTAACTGTTAAGGGGAAGAAAATCAGAAATAAAAATGCTCCAAACCTTTATTACTTTTTCTTTTCTCAAGAATCCTGCACCTCTCATTACCTTCTCCTTTTGCTATGCCAGGTTTCTCTTATGAAATTCCCCGATTTTGGCCAATTGACTCAAGGCTCCCCTAATACACTCTTACAATTGTAAGCACTCAGGGGTTCCACTAAAAGGGTGGCTGGATGCAGCTTCAGGACTAATTGTATCCTATGAGTTATAGAATTATGCACCAACAACTAAAAGGACACAATTACAAGGTGAACTATTGTGACACACACTGTGTAATGTCATACAATCAAATGCAATGTTTAGTAAACATGAACCTCTTTGCCATTTTGTATTTATTTATACAAGTTTAAAATAAAAAAAAAAAAAATAAAGCACACATTTAAAAATATCCCTTTCTCCTTTGTGTCTCTGCAGCATTATGCAACTTCCTGAGGAGGCCGACGGGTAGGCAATGACTCGGTCAGTGCCTGGGGAACGAGCAATGACTAGCGAGGAATATGCAGTTCTTCTTTGAATTACACCTGCAAAAAGAGAGATACAACCTTCCAGAGAGTGTGGGAGAGAAAAGGAACAGCTTACTGGGGATTTGCTAGGAGCTGCCTAGGTGGGAACACCAAATTTCTGCAGAAGTAGGAGCCTTAACTAGGTCACTGCTAAAGGACTGCGTTTTTCCAGCAATGTGCCAGTAAAGAAACACCAGAGGGTTTCTAATGTCTGGGATCTCCCCTTGGCCATAAAGCCGAGGAAAGGGGAAGCAGGTCTTCCACTTATGGTTGGGGAATGGATAAATCTCTGGCATGTCCTCAAAGCAGGGAGATGATGCACAGCTCTGCAGAGAGTCGGGCTCCTTCCAGTTTGCCCAAGGAATCATGGGTTATTCCACCAAGTCTCCATAACATGCAAAAGCTCTGCTTTGCAGACCTCCAGCAGGACTGTCCCCCTCTCCTCTAGGAGTGACAACGCACATTTCTGGACATTTTGGTCTTTCTTGAGAGAAAGATTTTCCTGGCACCCTGCCCTCCTGCAACGCCACCCCCCTTCTCTTCTCCTTGCTTGTTCTCATCCTCATTTATCTCACACATACGCACATAAAAGATTCCAATGCAAAAGGGTGATCTCAGTCCATTCCCCTACAGCCTAAGCCAACACAACTTCCATTGGCAGAGGAAAGCAAACCATAATTCTGGCAAAATGATAATTTTTCTCCTTTCCTCAATACACCACAGGAAACAGAGAAAGATGATCTAATGACTTATGTCCAAAATACTGCTGAGGGAGCAAAAGCCAAGCATGCTACTAATTTTTACAAAAGATGTACTGTGAGTTTAATGAAAGTACAATGGGTGGAGAGGCCATATCATTAGTTTTTCCAGTGGTTACAGAATCACAGTGTTTTTTGTGGTGGCAGTTTTGGTCTGTGCTTTGAATACAAAGCAATTACAGTGTCAAATGGCACTATTTTGCAAAAGAGAAGTGACTATGAAATTTATTTGTGTTCAAATCCCAGAGCAATTGTGGTACAATAGGAATTATCATGTCAAATTTCAACTCCATCTCTACATCTGCAGTGTAGGTGTGTGTACGCTCACATTTTGTGCACTCACTGGTACCCTTAGCAGACATATCCCACGTGGACTGTTCAGGGCCAGCTCTATTCAATGCTTTCACTACTACCAGCATGGATAGTGGACAGGAGAGTATATTAATAAAGCATTGTCTGTCTAAGTTTGGAAGGACTGCAGAATTTTGAAGCCTGACAACAGAGTCAAAACGTACTCAGACCCTTGAAAGAATGATGTGAAATCAACTGTAAGAAATTCAAAAAAGACAAGTCCACAAGGGAAAGAGAAATCAGTGGTGCAAACATAAAATATGGAAAAAGTGATTAAACAGCACTTTTGCAGAAGAGTATCAGAGGTTGCACTTGGTCACTGCTTCACAGTGAATAAAAAGAATGGCAAAGCTACAAAGCCAACACATCTAATCCTTACCCAGTTTATTAAAAGAATCACATACAGAAGACATGGAAGACATTTTTTTTTCTGTTCTCCTTGGAGGTGATGAATCTTCAACTGAACGCTGTGGGCATGACCCTTGGAAAGAGTACGGAATCGAATGAGAATGAGGAGTCAGGAAAATGCACTTTCTGCAGGAAAACCTGCTTAGTTTAGGAGAGACGAATTTGAGAAGAACCACAGTAACACTTTTTCTGTATGAAAAGGATATATAAGAAGAACAGGTATAAAATGTTTCTTTTGTCCCCTGAAGGGACAAGACACAATCAGCTTAATTTACAGCAAATATAATTCAATTTGAATATCCTAATTCCAAGAATAGGCATGCACTGGGAATATGCTGCCTAGGCTGGCTGTGGAATCATCTTTATCAGGGTTTAAAGAACAGGTTACACAAAAAATTGCTTGAAACAACCTAGATACTGATTCAGCCCTTTTTCTCCAAGAATCCAATGTTTTCCAACTTGAGTATGATATAGCAGTTTAAGTTGCCACAAGCTATGTCCTTTTAAATTGGCTCAGATTGTATATTCAGAAACAGAGGCATCTGAATTTCTTGTTGTGTTATTTAATGTAAAAGCTGGATTCTTGGCCAGTAGAGTCTGGGATGTGTTCAAAAAAACCAGGAGATTTATGTATCTGTTGCTAATACTTTTAAGTATGGTAATTTAAAAATTTGTAGCAATTGAGCCACAAGTAAGTGGAGAAAATGTGATGTCTTCTACTGTTTTCTGATGCACTTTAATATATAGCTGTGAAATTCAAGCTCTTTGGCTCACAGAAAATCTCTACAATAAAACATTGAATAAGGAGGGTCCATGAAGTACAGAATAACAGCAGAAGAAAGACAAATTAATTTGCTGGATAGACAGTTATTGGAAGCTTAGGAGACAAGAAATGCCAGATTAAATACTTTCTCCATTTCTTTCTTGCAAATCAGTCTTTCGGTGTTCAATGAGTTCCTATCAGCCTATGCAAATAATTCACAATGAATAATTTATCTGATATTTTTTTCTTTTTGTGGGATATCTAAAAGTAAAATGCTTTCCTCTCACATATTCATTATTCAAAATTATATTAGCACAGCCTTAGGTGAGTGTGTTTTCGCTGCAGTTGCTTTTCTCCACAATTCAGTTTTCGTATCCCTACATGCAGCAAGTGTCCCACTGAATTCCTTTTATCCTTGGGGCAAAGATTCCTTCAAGCTGAATTAAGGTCCCACTTTCAACAAGCTCGGCAGGATCTCTCTCTCCACTGTTGCCATGGAAGGGGCTAACCTCCTGATTTGAGCATCTGAATCCGATATGGGCATCTGGATTAGGCTGGCCAGTGGGAATTACCACCAGAGCTTAACTAAGGACCCTCTCGAGTTCCCACTTTCCAAATTAACTGGCTGAAGTGAAGCAAGATCAACCAGGGAAACAGAAGAAGCACTCCTCCAGGCATCCCATTTCTGCCACTGATGTCCTCTTTATCTTCCATTGGCTGAGTTGTTCTTAGTCAACATTGTCATGGAATCATGACAATGTTGACTAAGATGATTTCCAACCTAAATGATTCCATTTAGGTTGGAAAATACCTTTAAGACCATTAAATCCAACTGTGTATTATGTAAATGCTTACACTTGGTTTGTACACAAGTGGTAGGAAAAGGATTATGACCTTAGTTTCAAATCTTGTTTTAACAGTTCCTACCTGAAGGACATTACCACCATACTGGAAGTCTCCCCCATTTCAGGTACAGTACATGGATCAACAGGAGGAACCCTCCTTCTGCTCCTTGAAACCAAGAATTAAATGCTTGTGTGGAGAACTTTCAATTCACCTCTGTCCTGAAGTTTAGGAATGCCAGACAGACCAGCTAATACAACAGGCATTGTTTCTGTCATGTAACACACTGAGAATGCCAAATGATGACAGAGAACTGGCAAGATCCTTCAGCAAGCAAATTTGGAATAGAAAGGAAAGCTTGAACAGGACTACAATTGTTTTTCCAGTCAAATCTTTTGATAATCACATTATACAGAGTCAATGGAGACAATTAAGGGGTTCAGTAATGGAACACAATGGAATATTTGTGTTGCTATCAGCACTTGATAGCAAGACACACTGTATTAGATGTTTAGTGTGTCCAGCTCCATCAAATGTCTTTTTTAACATTTTCAGAAAGTAGAATGTAATATCCACCACAGCATTTGCCTTTGCAGAATCATCTACCTCAGACTTGGTGGATGAGGGGAAGGCTGTGGATGTGGTCTATCTAGACTTCAGCAAGGCCTTTGACACTGTCTCCCATAATATACTCCTGGAAAAGCTGGTAGCCCATGGCTTGGACAAGTGTACCCTCTCCTGGATTAGGAGCTGGCTGGAGGGTCGGGCCCAGAGAGTGCTGGTGACTGGAGCTGCATCCAGCTGGCAGCCGGTCACCAGTGGTGTTCCCCAGGGGTCTGTGTTGGGTCCAGTCCTGTTTAATATCTTTATTGATGATTTAGATGAGGGGATTGAGTCCATCATCAGCAAATTTGCTGATGACACCAAACTGGAAGGGAGTGTCGACCTGCTGGAAGGCAGGAGGGCTCTGCAGAGGGATCTGGATAGACTTGAGAGATGGGCTGATTCCAATGGGATGAAGTTCAATAAAGCCAAGTGCCGGGTCCTGCACTTTGGCCACAACAACCCCAGGCAGAGCTACAGGCTGGGCACAGAGTGGCTGGAAAGCAGCCAGGCAGAAAGGGACCTGGGGGTACTAATTGACAGGAAGCTCAACATGAGCCAACAGTGTGCACAGGTGGCCAAGAAGGCCAATGGGATCTTGTCCTGTATCAAAAATAGCGTGGCCAGCAGGAGCAGGGAAGTGATCCTTCCCCTGTACTCTGCGTTGGTGAGGCCACACCTTGAGTATTGTGTTCAGTTCTGGGCCCCTCAGTTCAGGAAGGATATTGAGGTGCTGGAGCGGGTCCAGAGAAGAGCAACAAGGCTGGTGAAGGGACT